TTAGATTAAGTCGGGGTATAGTTAGTTTGCCCTTCATTGTGCTATTGGTGGAATGCTCTAAGTTTCTCCAAAGTTCTACATTTAGCAGTTTTCTTCGTGAATGGCTTCTACACGAAGGGCTAGGTCAAATATATATTTTCAATGACCGATGCGTTTTAAGCTACTCTTCGAATTCTAACTACCAAGGAATTGGTAACGTACACAACAGACGTGTACATGTACACGGGCCTGTTTTAATTTTGTCTTATCCGAACAAGACTTTCCAGAACATAGTTTACGGGCCAGAACTGTATTAAGTTATAGACAAACTGAATTCAAGAGCAATATTTATAATGGAATTAGAATTAGGAAGCCATACTTTGGTAGTGTCTCGACGTTGATGTAACTTGACCAAGCATTCGAACTCAGACACACAAGACAAAATAGTTGCGCTTGATATCGTGAAAAGAATCTCAAAATAATGCAGTGTATAAATATTTTATACACGTTTATTTATCCTTAGATCTACTGTCTCCATGTTGGATAGAATTTTGAAGTAACATAAAATATAATAGTATAATGTTGTTTTTCCACATTAATTATTCAGTGTGTTCCACGAGATTTAATAGAAATGGGAACGCGTTTAGGCGTACATATGTGTAACCGAAACATTGGTTTTATGATGAATGTAATAATTATATACACATGGGATATAGTGTTTTTTTCTATGACGTCTAGTATTAGTTCTAATAGAACTGATGATGCAGCTACATTAATCATTATTACTTGCAATCACCTGTAACACATGTCTATTGTTAATGATACATAAGATCTAGATAAAGAGCTGGCCGTTCTTACTATAATAGTACAACAATAGATAATGCAAACTGAATATATTGAAAATTTCAATTAAATTACTTTATTCTGACCCAAGTTATCATTGTTTGTAGTTTTGACAATATGTATGCATTGATTGTTTATTATCGTGACCACGGTACTGGTATATTCGTAACTTAGACTCGCTCCTCCATTTTTAAATTAACGGTTCTAATCTAGTTAAAATCTCGAGCATCCGATGGCACTGAAAGTTGGCTATGCTCTTGTAATGTTAATAAATGTCTAATTAATAATTAATATAACATTTAAGGCCCAAAGAAAGACCTGAAATAGGACAATTTATAATGTATCTTTAATAGTATTATATGGACCAGGAACCGAGCAGTGATATTCGAATTATAATGTCCATGGAACAAGCATACCAAGCTCCATGTTGATCATTTTTTTAATCGTTTGGGGACCATTTCCTAGTCCAAGAATTTGTAACTCTTCCAGCAAATAATTGTACTGACATTAATTTTTTAAGGATGCGCCTACGCGAAAAGAAAAGGTTAAAAATCACGAATTGCATTATTAAAGAACCAGCTTACGTACCTTGTATAACTTTGAACTAGCCAGATAAAAAGAATTTTCCTTTATTCAAATTAAGAATTCTGTTAGGAATCTGTCAGTGATGTTTATTCCATGTTCATCCTCTTAATGGAACCATCAATTTTTACTTTATAATAAAGAAAAATACTAAATTTAACATCTAAATTTCAGTGTTAGGAAACTTTCAAAACAGGATTTATTTGTATGCTTTGTTGCCAGTGAACACGAATTCGCGCGCGTATTTTGGTGCCAGTTTCACCAAATCATATTTTCCGCACTAGTTACACACAAGAATATAAAATAAAATGTGAGTGCTACATTACTATTAAATTTAAACGTTTGTTATCATAAAAGGAAGGTGAATTTGCTATCAATAATAATGATAATACTTCGGCACCATTTACAAAATGGAAGTAGAAAACACAATACTCAGTAGTTAGAAATGTAGCTCTAGTAAGGAAGTTTCTGAGGCTAGGTGGTTGACCGTTACTATTGATTGATTCTGTGTTATGAAAATTATCTTTAAGATTATCACTAAAAAGGAGAACTGGTATCACAAATATTGTTTAAAACATGTTTGCTATGTATGTCGAAATGAACGTAATACAAGTAAAGATATTTATTTTTTATTTGGTCGTTCTTGCATTAATCAGACCTGGCCTTTTCAATCCCTATGTCAATAATCTTAGGCGGATAATCTTTTTCGATAAGTTTGATCTCAATTCATCAAGTCCGTGAATTCTAATATCTATAACTATAGTACAGAAAGAGTAGTTTATTTTTAGCATGACGAGGATGAAATGACTTAAAAAGATAATCATTTTTAGTGTCTGTCTCTGTATTTAGTCTTTTCGTTATAGTTAGTTCAATAGTGAATTATATTTATATCTAGGTTAATATTTAATAGTTTTTGCAAATCTGCTATTTTGGCAAAGTTTAATGAGAATACGTCGTCTAAAATCTCATTTTGGGATTACTAAGGTCTGGTCAACGAACTGAACCCATGACACAACATTTAATTTGCATAAAGTTTAATTTGCATCAATTTTCACTTTCCAAATACGAAGGTGTTATTCCTGATTTATACGAGGTAACCTATCAGTTCAATAACTGACGGCCTCCAGGCACAGATTAAGTGAGATATTACTATATGTATATAGAGACTTAAGACCTCATAAATTACGCCCCCCCCCCCAACATCTGAATATTAAAATATTCAATGTTTAAAATTCTGTAATTGAATTACACGGTTTGTCGTGGTGTCTTGGTGTCGGGTTAAAATGTCGTGATGTGGGATTGTCGGGTTGTTGCCGTATGAAGGGCGACACCACGACATTACGATTTGATACAAACCAGCCACCATAAATATTATATCTCACATTTAAATCTTGTCCTTGGTTCAGACAGTATTTTTAATAATATATTTTATCTTCTGAAACACCTATTAGAATCAATAACTTATTCATAGGTGTTCATGAACCAAATGCACCAAAATCTATTTTCGCCCCGTGGAAAATATATTTTTTTTTGGTCATTTATAACATATATCTAATTACAACACGTTTGTAATGTTCAAATGATTTTCATCTAAAGTGGGGCTTTTGTCGGCCTTACAACTGAGAGCAATACAACTGGGCCCTGGCTTTTCCGCAACAGGGAGCAACTGGCTTCAACTGATGTCAAACAGGGCCTATTTTAACGTGCCTACAGACACGGAGGTGCCTCGAAATAAAAGATCCGTGCTTCGAGATTCATAAATCCGTGCTTTGAAAAGATGGTATGTATCCTTGTGAATCTGAAAAAAAAATGCATGAGGAAATTTAGCAAGTTTGCCATTAGCAATCATTGTGATCATCAGTCACTGCATATGATTTCGTTTAAATTTCGTGTTTTGTCTATAAATATCTGAAAATAAATCTGTTGATGACACAAAGTTTGTGAGCTATCTAATGTGATAAATTGGGAAAATGGGAGCACGAATCTTATCGATAGTCAGCATTCCACGACCTTCAGTTCCGGAGTTAAGCCCCTTTAAAAACTTTGTGGAAGCTATAGAGGCTACCGTTTTAACCGTGTTTTTTTTTTCAAATTTGATGTTAAGCATTGGGGTCATGAGACAACACACCCCATCGATATTCAGCGATCGTGACCTTCCGTTATCGAGTTACCAAACTTTTCCAAAAACCTTGTGAACGCGATATAGGTTCATATTCGATGTGAGGCATGGAGAATGTGAGCCCTATCGATTTTCCAAGGAATATTTTATTACACTTCTGGAGAGCCTTTGTTTTACGACTAATTGTTCACGATTTCATAAAGTTTATTCTGACATAGTAGAGCTGATAAAGGTAATGGAAGAAGCTAAATTGAGCCTATCAAGTTCTGAGTGGACAAAGTTTCGGAAATTTTGTCGGAACCCAAGGGGGGGGGGGGGATACCCATCAAACAACTTCCATCTCCAGAAACCGTGCTTCGTCAATAAAACCTTGAAATAGGCCCTGACTGAAGATAGGTCAACCAGAGCTCCTCTTATACGTCGTTACGACTTAGTGCTCATACAACTTACTGTAAATGGACAGACTGGAAGCTAACGAGGGTATTAACTTATCAAGTGTCAAGTTTCTTTACATACTAAGTTCTATAATGAACATTCTCTGCTCAGGTTAAGCAGAATAATATGAAATATGATCGCTCGATGCATTATAAAAAGGCAATTGTACAGGTAATTAATGAGGGTCATCTGGGGGGGGGGGGTAGGCCTATACATGTTTTATTAGTTTCGAGGCCTCGAGGGCGTGTTAGACAAAAGGACATCTGGTGAGGTCGGATATGGTTCTTTCCCGAACTTTTGATATCCCTTTTCTGTGGCAGTGAGTGACACTTCGGAATTGGAGACCAACACAGACTCACATCCAGTTACGTAGTTTTCAATTTCTCTTTTTGCTCAAAGTTTTTGTCTAGTTGTCCGCTGGTTTGTATTATTGGTTTTTATATTGGTCGTTATATGTGGTGTAATCTTCCTCAACATGTACTATCAGTGTCTTTAATTTAAAATTTAAGGTGTATTTCCACTCTGATCTTCATTCCTGTGGTTATAACCTCACCTTATTTTCAAAACGATCTTCAACAAATTCGTGACAAATTTTATGAATTAATTACAATTCGTTTCGTTCATTTTTTTCCGGCAATTATTGAACTACATTGTCAATTTAGTGTAACAGCAAAAATAAATTGATTGACGTCTGATAATAATCAAAATGCCATGGATCGGTTTAATCTCATTAAACCTACATGTTAATTTGTGATGCGTCATGTCAGTGTTTCGGTGTTTTGTCTTATGAATTGGGTTTAAAATTGAATGGAGATTTTTTTTATTTAAATATGTGTTCTTAAATTGATAATGTAAATTGTTATTATTAGTGGATGTACCGTAGGAGGCATCAGGAAAACAGTAGGTGTACGCTCAAAATAAATACGCATCGGATTGATTCCGGTAATCGATTTTCCCAACACAGCGAACGCTATTGGTAACTTTGGAACATCGAATTCATTTTGAAAGTAGAGGCCGTTAAAGATAACATTGTCGTGTTCCCGACTGCTTTTTGCTTCCACGAAAACATGGTAGGAAAATAAGAGAAGCCGCACTGGGATAGATCGATCACTGGCGTTTTCCAGGAACTTCAGAAATCACGAAGACATATAAACACTAATAGAATAGGTTATATTACGGTTTCAGTATAAAGTTTTATGTGTACGCACGTTGATAAGTTTGTGATGAGAGCCAGTAGAGTTTTAGTTGAGATATAATTGGATTGAAACAATTGAAGAAGAGAGATGAGAATTTCATGGCCTTTATATTGATTATGAACTGGAAATTTGTCGAACTGCATATACACACACCCTACTCAACTCATGATTAACGGTTTTATTTTATGAGTTTTAAGCGAAGTACATGTATATATGAAAGCCTGTGTTATTTTACTCTGATTCTTGTATGGTGAGTATTATTTTATGTCAATCTCTGGTCAATCTAATTTATTTTGATTTTACACTAGCGTGAACGAAACATCTAAAAATAAACTAATCGTAATGATCATCTGATTTAAATTAAGGTTTTAATCACATTGTGCTGTGATTGTCTGTGGAAAATAATTCTACGCCAAGACATACAGTATCATTTAATTTTCACTTTGATATATAAGAACCATTTGCTTTCAAATCCATTCCACAGACACAGACTGTCAATCGGTTCGGAAATGTTTTTCCGGATCTTTAAATTATTAATTCCCTCTTCACCAAACCAAACTTCGAGCCACTTTGGGGGAGTAAGGCGCTGGCTTACTAACCAGAAGATCAGGGGTGAGATCCCAGTGATTTTCCGGGATTTCCCATCGTGGTTTCCCAATATCAGTAGCACAGGAAGGATGGAAGGCCTGGCAAGGACCAGTGTTTATTCCTTCGCATATGGCACTAAAACCCGAACCCTTGACAGTTGGAAATCGAATTAAGAGTAGGCAAAATTTCCCTCATAACCCACTGAATGGTGTATACCGTCTTCTTTATCCCATTTGGTGCAGACACCCATTTTCATTTTATTTCATCTATAACCCAAAAGAATCTCTTGTATTCTTTTTAAATTAACGTTTATGTATCAGGTTTGTGATGTTTAAGTATGTTATTCAGCTTCTAAGTCAACCTAATAGTCAAACTAATTTCAGTGAGTATTTTGCACGAGCGGTCATTAAATTCCTTGAAAACCACTAAAACATTGTACGGCTTTTAGTCTGCCACATAAAACATTCAAATCTGGGGTGGATTGGTTTAAAATCTTCTACATTACCTAAAAAAAACTGTTTTTCAGATTAAATAGAAAATGTATTTTTACAAATCATTGAAGACCTTCAAAACGGATATGACGTCATAAGATGACGAAATAAGTTTAGCTCTCATGATAATATTCGGCAATGGCCAAAATGAGCCCTACGTCTTGAATTCATTTTTATTAATGCACAAAGACAATGCACGTATTCTTGTATTCAACATCGTGGTGTAGTTTCTAAGACCATCATTTGTATAAATAATTTATATTGAATCTAATGCCACCTGATACTAATAATTTGAATTGTAGTGGAATTTCCAACGAGATTGTGGCTATCTGATTGTAAATATATAAATCACAAAATAGAAGGACAATCAATCAGTGGATCGCATTGGTGTAATTTCCTAGAAGCTTTCATAACATCAACTATATCTACCATTACATTTAATTGTTTTCATCGGTGATACGACTAATGTTTCCAGCATCGTCTGTTCCCATTCTCGACCCTCGGAGCACCGGCAATCAATGGCCCCGTTATGGAATCGTATAGGGGTCAATTGCGTGGAAGATACAGCGACATTAATTGGTAATATGTCAACATATTGTGACCGTTGCGATGATTTTACCCCCGAAAAGACAAATTTACTGAGTTAATTGAATTAACGGGCTATGCATGTCGACATTTCGTGTTAACTGTGCATGTTTGTACTAAGATATTGACATTCTGAAGCTGTCAACATATTTCATTTCGTCGTTGTATATGTTGACATAATATTCCCATGCGATATGTCGATATATACTTAGGCGAAATGTAATATGTTGAGAAAGCATTATCTTAGCGCAAACGTGTGCACGGAAAACGGAATGGCAACATAGTTCAGCTCTGAACGTAAGTCGCGTTTCACTCGCCGTCTACGTTCAGCCCGGGCTGATTGGCTTCTTGTCGAAACTTTTTATCTCCCCAGTAAAGTTTACTGCGCAATTTCTACGAAGAAAAAAATTGTCAACCCGATCCTTGATCGCCAAATGAATCCCGACAATATGTTCTACATATTTATAACATATTTATCGAATCCGGGTGATTACGACGCCCTTCATATTACGAAACCAATGCTTCAGTCGGAAAACGAACTCTACTGGCAAACGTAAACTTCAAAAATGTTCTTTTGTTAGTTCCATTGAACAATAACCAAACCATATATAGTTATTCATTATCAGTCTTTGGTCGCTCAACTCAGCAAGCACACCTTGCTTGCTAGTGTTCTCTTCAAAACTTCAAAGATTTGGTTTCCATAGTTTCAAGGTCTTCTTGACTAAATGAAAGAAATGCGTTCGATACCAACCGTTTGTATTAAAATAGTGAATCTAAAATGCTACTATACGATTTATAGATCGGGGTGTTTTGTCTTGTGTATCAGTACCTGAAACATGTATGTAACACTACAACTTTTAACAGATCGTTTTATTTTTGTCCTATGTAACAGTATCAGTATCTTATGTATCAGTATCTGAAATATGTAACAATCGGGTTTTTTTTTTGTCCTATCATATCAGTACTTGAACTATGTAACAATACTACCTTTAACAGATCGTTGTTTTTATTATTTTTGCCCTATGTAATTAGTACCTGAATTATGTAACAATTATACTATTCAAAAAAAGTAGGGGATATTTGATTTTTAAGTGTTATTAAAGTCACCTAATGAAACTGACGAAGAAACAAATGACAAAATGAAATGAAGTTCACATTCATCGATTTATTCCAAATGATCGTTAGACTAAGTAAGGCACAGACTGACCATTATAAGGGTAAAATGATACCCGGGGTCAAACAGCAAAGTTACCACAGCATCACAACCAAGTCAGTAACGGGTAAATCCTCCTCTGTTTGCCAAACAAGCATTGATCCGACGTGGCATACTCCTAATGAGACGTCTAAGGTCATTTTGGTCCAGATTGTCCCATTCCTGTTGCAACGCAGCAGCAAGTTCTTGGACATTGGCAGGACGTTGTTGACGTTGACGTAACCTCTGTCCAAGCATGTCCCAGACATGCTCGATGGGGGAGAGGTCGGGACTCAGTGCTGGCCAAGGTAATGTGGTGATGTTCTGTTGTTGGAGGTAACCTGTAACGATCCTGGCCTTGTGACATCTTGCGTTGTCATCCTGGAAGATGAAACGGCGGCCATGACGTCGTGTGAACGGCACAACATGGACTGCCAAGATGTTATCCCGGTAGTACTGGCCTGTAACACACCCTGCAACAACATGTAAAGCCGTTCTTCCAGCAACAGTGATGCCTCCCCACACCATAACAGAACCACCCCCAAATCGATCATGTCTGATGGCGTTAACGTCTTGGAAGCGCTCGTTTCGACGACGCCACACCCTCCTACGTCTGTCCAAAAAATCAACAGTGAACCTTGACTCATCTGAAAACATCACATTGCTCCAGCGTCGATTATCCCAGTCTTGACGATCGCTACACCAACGACGTCTTGCCTGAATGTGATGATCTCTCAAACAAGGGATCACGCGAGGACGTCGGGCGCGAAGGTGACCCCTATGCAGTCGATTCCGAATCGTCTGGCCACTCACTCTCACACCAGTGTCTGTTTGAAGACGAGCGCTGATCTGATTTGCTGTGATGACACGATTTCTCAAGGCCAAGGTACGGATAAATCGATCCTGGGCTTGAGTTGTCGCCCTTGGTCGACCTGAGCGTGGTCTGTCCTGTACAGATTGTGTATCACGGTATCTGGACCATAGCCTGCTTATGACAGACTGAGAAACATTCATCGTCCGCGCCACAACCGCCTGTGTTGTGCCGATCTGTAGCATGCCAAGGGCACGTAACCTTTCATTTTGGGTAAGCCGACGCATATCAAAATTTGTTTTCTGGTCACTAAAACAATTAAACTGATGTTTCCACCCTGGAATTCAATGCCACAATACCTGTAACATTCAATGTCAGAGTCGTGCAAATCTTGGGTTGGACCCCCATGATGATCCCAAGCATCACCTGCATTCCATGCGGTAGCTATTGGTGCGTTTGGGCGTCACATGTAACTGGAAATGTTTCTTCTGTTAGGTTCTATAGTGACTTTTTTCGTAGTCATTTGCATATTTTAGTATTATGCCCCCAAAATCAAATATCCCCTACTTTTTTTGAATAGTATATAATAGATAGTTTATTTTTGCTTTGTGTATCAGTATCAGTGACGAAGAGCTTCTATTGGTGTTGAAGTTGTATAGAAATTTATACATTTGATAATATTGATGCGATATCCTATGGTAAATGAATGTTTTTTTACAGCGCCACATAATAGGTGTGTTTTATAAATGTTATTTAAAAATATTAATACAATAATAAAGACATTATAGTAAATACGAACCAAACTACACCTGGAAAACATTAATAAAAATCTATGTCAGTTGTTTTATTTCTTAATGACAAAATTTTGTATGGACAAACATAAATTGGAAATATAGAAACTACCATATGGGAATTACAAATGTGTATTTTATGCGACCAATGCCTCGTTTATCAGTCATCTAAAACAAATTAATGGTCAATATACAATTTTCATGTCAGCATTAATGTCATTTATCGTAATTATAACGGATAAATGGTCGTCATTATCTGCTTTTCGATCTTCTTAAATAGGAAATCGTTAAAATTCATTCAAAAAGGCATAGAAATAAAATATATTTCGCATTTGAAAAATATATTGCCACACCTGTTTTGAATGATGAAAAGCACTTAAATAATTAACTTTTTGTTTTTATTTTTTTTAAAGAGGACTTTGTTCTATTTCGTTAGTTAGTGTAAGAATAAATGCTTGTAAAGGTCTCTTGTGTCAGAATGTCAATAGAAAATAACAGGGCTGTCGGTAATTTTTCACAGTTGATTAGCAGCACTGCTAATCAAAAAGTCCAATTTCGCCAAATTTGATTAGCAAATTTAAAAATTGATTAGCAGTTTTTCAGTTTCAACATAAAACACCTAAATAACAAGAAATTACTTTAATTCATAACAAATATGATGATTAGATTTCATTCTTAGATTTTTTTTAGCACTGCCACATGTAGTTGTGACAGTTTGTGAATGTGAATGTCTGAAGCCAAATCTTGGGAGTGACTTCCGAAGCCCTACTCATTTTAATTGTTATTTCTTTG